TAGCCACTGGGACCCCACGCTCAGCTCCGACTGGGACGGCGAGCGCACCGCGCCGCAGTGTCTACTCCGGATCAAGCGGTGAGCCGGGGTTTTTCCTCCCCCAGCCCCGAGCTCCGGGGCTCGACCTTCCCCGCCCCCCACCCTCTCCCACTACAACTCACCCCCCACCCGCTGCGCTGCCCTCGCGGCGGCCCACCTCCACGGCCCAAATCTTGCCAGCTCCGGGCATCGGGATCCAAGTCCCTTCTCCCCCCACCCCCAGCCCCACAAGCACCAACCCTCGCCTCGTGTGCCCAGATCCGACCCCGCCCCTCGACAACCTCCCGTGAGCCCTCCGTCTTCATTCCGGCCACCTTCCCCCACCCCTCCCACCTCCGGGTGGAAACCCGACCCTTTCGCGCTTCAGTAACACCCCCTCCCGCCTTCGGCGCCGCCCCTATTTCCCCTTCCCCACCCCAACCTTGCTAGATGCTGCCCGCAGGCCCCACCCATCGGTCCCCTGTCTTCTCTGGAGCCCCGTTCCTAACAGACGAACTTACCTTCCTTTGCCCTGCCTCTGACTCGAGCCAGCCTTTGTTTTTATCTTCCGTTTTCCTCAGATTCCCTCCACACAGTCCTTTCCCCAGGTCTAGATCGCCTCCCTCACCCGAATCTTTCCTTGAACCCCTTTTCCACTGTCCCAAAGCTGTCCACTCTTACGCCTCTTCCAGAAACACAGGCTACCTCCCCCCACTTCCCCAGTGCCACTCTGGATTGTAATATCCCACTCAGGAGCTTCTTTCTTGTATTTTCCCTCCCCCCACTCCCCACCCTTCCTGGATCATCTGTTTTACTTTTATGAAGCAAATATACTCAATTCAAATATAGGAACAAAGGCCTAAGTCCTTTCTGTGCTTATTTCTTGGGTGACTGATTTTAGATCCTATCATTTAGTGGATAATGTTTTCCAAAAGCACGTAGAATAATACCTATCGCATAAGAAAAGGGCAGTACTCTTTAGCTGCTGTTAATCCTGAAACATTTGACTTCTCCCCGTGCCCCCATCACAAGCATCTTCATTTAGGTGTTATTCCCCATGTTCCACGTCCTTTCACATGTCACTGTGTCTGCTTTTCAAGGTTGTAATAAAAATTAATACAATGTGTGTAAAGTACCTGGCACAGTGCCTGACACAGGAGGTGAACTCTGGAGGGGTTGCCACCTCTTACTGAAACTCAGCACTCAACTCTTTTCCTCCTTCAGCTATTTCAGTCATCCAATTAGCTGACATACCTTTGAGTTTGGCCAATACTTCTTTTCTCTGCTCTGTCGGCTATTTGCCCTTTTTATGTCCCTACCCACCCTAGCAAGTCCCTAGACTTTTCCCCACCTAGAATTTTTTCTTTAGCCCCTTACTCTCAACTGATCCATTCCAGTTGGTGAGATATGACTCAGAAATCTTCTCATCTCCTATAGAAGTCCACATGTCATCTTCCAGATGGGAGATTCTCAGCGCTTTCTGAGGGTGCCTCCCCAGCCTGAAGAGATCTCTACCCTTAGTCCCCTGAGCAAGAAGACCACCATGATAGTCTTACTCCCTGCTGGCTGGCTTGCTTCATACAATCCCTTTACCAACAAGGGTCCACTGTATAATTTATAGAATTAGTTTTTTAGTGGAGTTGATGATGCCTTTCCAGTTACTAAAAAATCTTCATTTAGCATTCAGCTGTAGTACCTGAGAATCATGGAGGTGGGGAGTGAATGAATTGCCATGTGGGAGGAAGTGAGAGTAAGTGGAAAGTGGCTCTTCCAGGCTGACATTTGATGCCATTGGGATCTCTGATATTTTTTTTCCCCTCTCCCTCCCCTCCCCCTGAGGAAACAATGTCCTTTTGATAATAATTTGCTCTCTGCCTGCCTGAGAAGTACTCAGCTGGGATTTCTCAGCCAACAAGACAGTACAAACACTTGCGGTACCAAGCACCACTTTCTCAAACCCTGGCCTCATTGAGGTGATAACAACTGTCCCGCTCAAGGGATTCCCCCTTTCCCCACCTTCCTCACTCCTTCCCCCACCTCCTCTTGGTGTTATACAGGGATATCATGTCCATTTATAAGGAGCCTCCTCCAGGAATGTTCGTTGTACCTGATACCGTTGACATGACTAAGGTATGTAACTTGATGGGAGTTTGGGGGTTTTTGGGAAATCGGGGGCCATAAGGTTGGAAAAGCCTAAAAGAGATTATTCAGCTCACCTCTCTGATTACACAGATGAAGAAATCAAGACCCCAGGAGAGTAAATGGCTTGTCCAAGGTCACATAGTGAGGTGGAGCAGCGCTTTGAAGAGGTGTCTGTTATTAGTGTACCCCATAGGTACTGATTGGCTTGGAAAATCCCAGTTCATGTCTGTTGTCGCAGCTTGACTATAGGGCTCTCTTTCACTCTCAAAAGTGCTCCTGTTTGGATAATAAATTATATAGTCACCTTATCCATTGTACTACCCAGCTCTTCCCCCATCCCATTACTCTTGACGTTAACTATGGTACTATAAATCAGATGTAGGGAAGGTTGAGATAGGGCAAGCTTGACTGAAGTGTTTGTGGTTAAAGGACTTTGTTCAGGATCCTGTCCTTACTGGTTGCATTTAAATATCCCTTCCACCCCAAAGACTATACCTCTCTTGTCCTCCACACAGAGAGAAAGCTTAGTACATAATGTCACATTTCTCTGGCTTAGATACCTAGGCTTCTCTGTCACTGAGTGCTCTACCCACAGAAGTGCAGTTGCACTTAAACTGATGTTGAAAGAAACCAGATTTCCTAAACCTAATGCCGTTTAACTAAAACACATAGTTTTCTTATGGTAAATTTCTTACAGTAAAAATTCAGATTTTGTATTGTTGGTGTATCTTTTTTTGTTGTTTTAAATAGATTTCCCTTCATACTTATTTTTTTCTTTTTATGTGGTTGGAAATGTTTTTCCTGGGACATCTTGTCCTCTGTCAAGTACCTGGGATCCCAGAGTTGATGCCATGTTGAGACCGGTTGAGTTTACTATTCCAAATGACTGAGAATCAGAATATGACCTAGGGTCTTGCCAGGAGGGCAAGGTGGGACCTATAGACTTAGGCATTGGATTGCCACATCCTTTTCCTTTTGCTATTCAAATTCTTAGCAGACCTAAATGCTTAGGAGCCTTTGTAGAAGAAGAAATATAACTGAATCAGTTCAGGTGTTCCTCCCTTCAGGGAGGGAAATCCTGTTCTAGAATTATGGTTTGAGGGGGAAGAGAATTGTGTCATTTTCAGGGCAGCTGATTTTTTTTTTTTTTTTTAACCAACAGTATTGGGGAAGGTTCTGGGGATGGTCTAATGGCTCTGAGTGGACCCTGAGTCTTGTGCTGCCTGAGCCACATCCTCCACAATAGGTTTGATCCTCTGCAGAGGAAGCAAGCAGATATCCTAGGCATCCATCACACCCCCTAACTCTACTCTGTTAGTGGCATAGGGCTGTGGCCTCCAATCCCTTTTCTCGTTTCCTTTCATCATACTTTCCCTTTGTGCCACATAAATGTAGGTTGGGGTTGCATCATATGCATGTTTGGCCTGAGCAAATCCAAACATATATTCAGTCAAAATCTGTGTTGATTTCTTAAAATTAAAAATGCTAGGATTATATTTTATAGATAAGCATATTATATTTTTGCACAGTGGTGTTTTATCCATTATATGTAACACTGATCAGGGAGGTCTGCACACATACACAAAAAACATGCTTTAAGAGAGTTTTAAGGGATACTTGAGTGATTTTGACTAGGTTCAGTTTTTGCCTTGGGCTCTAACTTTAGAAGTAACCCCTGAGTAAGATGTCATTCCACTGTAATGAGATTTCTTAAAATTCCAAACCTATACATATTAGTATGAGTGAATACAGGATGTTCCTTCTGCATGGTGAGGATGTAGAACATGTGTACCAGATTATGGGCTCTGCTTCTGGTGTGGGTAGTAGGTGGAGGGTAGCCAGAAGGGGTTGGGGTGGGTCGTCACCTCACAATTTTGAGATGGGGTTTTATTTTGCAGATTCATGCATTGATCACAGGCCCATTTGACACTCCTTATGAAGGGGGTTTCTTCCTGTTCGTGTTTCGGTGTCCGCCCGACTATCCCATCCACCCACCTCGGGTCAAACTGATGACAACGGGCAATAACACAGTGAGGTTTAACCCCAACTTCTACCGCAATGGGAAAGTCTGCTTGAGTATTCTAGGGTAAGAGGAGACTTTTAAGTGGCCAAGTCGGTTGTTAGCAGATAATTACTCTAGGTCAGCCTTTATCAACCGGAGTCCCTCATCTGAACTACAGAATACAGAAAATGATTGAGTGACTCTTCTCAAATCTCCTCAGGATGGTATGTGACTAGTATCATTGTAGATGCAGAGGGGAGAAGTTAATTTATTACAGTGGAAACCTTTGAGAAGTGGTTCTCTTAAGAGAGTGGCCCCGAGCATCTGGGAACTTGTAGCCGAGCACTTTCTGGGACCCTACATAAGACCTGCAAAAGAAATTCTGGGGTTGGGGCCAAAAATCTGTTTTTTTTGGTGGTTGTTTTTTGTTTGTTTGTTTTGAGACGGAGTCTTGCTGTGTCACCAGACTGGGGTGCAAGTGGTGCGATCTCGGCTCACTGCAACCTCCGCCTCCCAGATTCAAGCGATTCTCCTGCCTCGGTCTCCCGAGTAGCTGGGGCTGCAGGTGTGTGCCACCACACCCAGCTAATTTTTTGTATTTTTAGTAGAGACGGGGTTTCACCATGTTGGCCAGGATGGTCTCGATCTCTTGACCTCATCATCCACTCACTTCAGCCTCCCAAAGTGCTGGGGTTACAGGCGTGAGCCACCATGCCCGGCCCAGTAATCTGTTTTTTACAAGCTCTCCAGATGATTGTGGTGCATACTCCAGTTTCAGAACCACTCTCCTGGGGTGTTAAGGCCTTATTTTCTCTCCTGAACAGGTTGAGAAAGGCTGCAGGTCTGTGCCATTCAAGATTTGGGGTATCTTAATTTGAGTCTCACAATAAGTTGCTTTGAAGACAGTGGCGGCGGCGGTGGTGGTGGTGGTGGTGGTGATCATTACGATTTCGGGTTTTTTTTGTTTCTTTGGTTTTTTTGGTTTTTTTTTGTTTTCGGTAGAGGCAGGTGTCTCACTATGTTGCCCAGGCTGGTCTTGAATTCTTGTCCTCAAGCAGTCCTCCTGTTGTGGCTCCCAAAGCACTGGGGTTACAGGCATGAGCCTCCATGCTTGACCTGATTATAGTATTTTAACAATGACAAATGTCTGAGATTAGAAATCTTTTTTTTTTTTTTTTTT